GGAGGGATTTCAAAGCCCTGTGGATGTGGCACTTGGGGACATGGGTCAGTGGTGGCCTTGGCAGTGCTGAGGGAACAGCAGGACTTAATGATCTTAAAAGTCTTTTCCAAGCTAAAGAATTCTATGATCCCATATCCAAAGACAAATCACTGTAATGTTGTGATGCTTCATGTCTAAATAATATATACTTGGCATTTTTCAGGAGGTTTTTATAGCCTTGGCACAGTTGGATTTCAGCTCTAATAACTAAGGCACCTGGCTGCACAGTTGGAGGAATAAAGAAAAGTTAAAACAGCTCAAAACTTCCCTAAAAGCATTTTTTTTCTCTGCCTGATGGTGGAAACAGGTCGTGGGGATGCAGAAAGGTTGTGCTGGCACTTGCAAGAACTGTTTTGGAGCTTTGAGTCATCAGGAATCCCAGGGAGTCGAGGCAACATGGCAACAAAACTCTCACAGTCACCCCCTGTGGGATTCCATCAAACCATTCTGAATCCTCATTTTAACCACCTACGACTTTGTCCCCTGGTTTCAAGTTATTGATGCCTCAATATCGATTGTGAATCTTTAAAATATTTAACATGTGTCAGGCTGGGAGAGCTGGGGGGGTTCCCCTGGAGAAGAGAAGGCTCCAGGGAGAGCTGAGAGCCCTTGCAGGGCCTAAAGGGGCTCCAGGAGAGCTGGAGAGGGACTGGGGACAAGGCCTGGAGGGACAGGACACAGGGAATGGCTTCCCAGTGCCAGAGGGCAGGGTGAGATGGGATATTGGGAAGGAATTGCTGTCTGGGAGGTGGGGAGGGACTGGAATGGATTTCCCAGAGCATCTGTGGCTGCCCCTGGATCCCTGGAAGTGTCCCAGGCCAGGCTGGAGCAACCTGGGACAGTGGTAGGTGTCCCTGCCCATGGCAGGGGATGGAAAGAGATGCTCTTTAAGGTCTCTTCCAATCCAAACCCTTCCATGATTCTATAACATACATGGAAGGCACGATGCAGTCCATGGAAAATGTCATTCCAATTTTAATAGTGGCTAAAGGGACCGGCTTTATTTGCTCAAGACATTGATGTATGAAAGAGCAACAAGGCCAACAACGTTTTTAGGGAAAAGCCTGTAAATGGAGAGATCACTCTTCTGTAAAAGTCAAAGATGACACAGGGCCTGTGGTCACTGGGTGAGTAAACGTGTCCTGAGCAACATCCATCTGTGCCAAATCGTGTTATGAGGGGGGCAGGTAAGAGGGCCCGCTCCAGCAAAAACAACTCTATGACATCCCAAAAGACTCAGAACTAACTCAAAAAAAAACCAAACCAAAACAAAAACAAAAAAGAAACCCAAAAAAGAAAGGAAAAACATTTTTCTTTTCCACTTACAGATTTCACCTTCCAAGGTTCTTCCCGGCGAATTATAATCTCGAAATGCACCGAAATCGCCGAACGAACCCCCAGCTCCAGACACGGGGGAAAATTGTATTGCAAGGCTAATATTTTCCCCACAAATTATAACAAATTGGCTGAGACCTGCTGCAGTCAAAGGTCAGGCCCAGACCTCAGAGAGCACAGCGCTCTGCTGCTCTCCTGCCTCCCACATCCAGCCCTAATAACTCATTTGTCCTGGAACCGAGGTTTCCACGCGCGGGGAACGTGGGGTCGTTTATTTTTTTCATAAATCATCATTGGCCAGTAAGAAAAGTGCAAATGAAACCCTGCTCACACCGGTGACCCCCTCGCATCCAGCAATCCCAGCTGCCCAATGACAGCCAAGTCCAGGTTTTCCAGGGTGGAGATGGAATCAATAGGTCCGGGATTAGGCGGCGACTGAGGACGGGGCGAGCGAGGACGGGTCAGGGGCTGAGATGATGAATAGTCCTCCATCACCCCCAGTCCCCTCCCACACCCACATCCACTATAATCTTATTTGGGCTGTGATTTATCTTTCTTTGGCCTGATCAATAAAGATGAACACAACAGTTGTAAGGATCGATCGCAATTTTTTATCATTTTCAAGCATGAAGGAGCATTTCTGACACAAAAACAATATTCTGAGTGTACTTGTTCTACTTTTTAATTGCAGTTCAAGTGATCAACTGAGCTGCTATCTATGCCAAGAAGTTTTAATCCTTCAGGAGACTCAAGCTATCAAGGAATCATTTGTTATCTCAGATGAAGTGTGCTGTGTTTCTTGGCTCAGGTCTTGCTTTGAAACTCACTTAGATTCTGCTTTAGAGATAAATCTGGTATAATCCAGAGATGAGGTTTCACTTAACAAGTCCTCCCTAATCCTCAAGATAAAAGGGCAACGGTCATTTCCCTAAATACAGAATAAAAATGGTGCTATAACATCACTTCCTCAGTCCCCAGATAAATATACATGTATTATTC